AAAGAAAAACAGATTTTTATTCTCATTTCATTATGAAACAAAAAACCTAAGAACAAAGCGTACACAAATGTAACACTTACTCTTTGATCTCTTTTTCCAGCATATCACTCCAACAAATGCAGCAACACCAACAGCAACAGCTCCAATAATGCCTCCAACAATCGCACCAACATCTAAAACACAAAGAGTAAAGCTGAAACTGAACACAGTCACAAAATCAGTGTTTATATTAATCAGTTTAAAATAGCCCTCGTTTTCACAGCATACTGTTAGTTTCTTCTTTGCAATAGCGTGCGCAGAGTTCTTTATTGCCGGAAGAAGCACACCTTGAAGAGAACAGAGAAACAAGCACGAGTCAGTTGCTGCTTTAAGTTAACATGTTACAGCATGAAGTTCTGTATGAGTACAATGAGTTTAGTAAGTAATGTTTACTGCAAACTGTTTATTGTATGCATTTGAAAGAGCAAAGCTTACGTTTCACAAGGCTGGCAGATTATACACGTTCCTGTGCTGTTGCTGCTACAAAAGTGATTTGGCTTACAGCGACACTTAGCATCTCTGGCAATGGTGCACTCTTCCTCTGTCTCTAGGTTAGCTGGAGGGATAMAGACATAACTGTCAGAGGAGCGAAAAGATTTATTTTTTCACAAACATAAGAAAAAGGGAAAGTTTTCTCAATCTAAAGTGCAAAATACTGTAAATTATTAGAATTAGAAATTTTAGTTGAAAAAAAAAAAGGCTGGGACAACACCCCAGGTCGTATGTACCGTTGGGATGGTCACATGACGTGCAGAGTTTACAAAACTGTTCAGAGTTAGGTTGGTCGTTGTACGTCTTTTTATTTTCACAATACTCGCAGGTTCCATCATTCGGGTTTGACGTGCAGTGATCCTTGACTCGCTGACCTGCAAACAACATAAATCAAACGTAGAAAAATGTTTTCACCATTTTGACAGTAAAACTGGCCTAGGCAAAAATATATAAATAAATAATAGTAATAATAATAATGATAATAATGATACGAATAATAATAAGAACAAGAACAAGAAGAACAAGAAGAAGAAAAATTAGTGGAAAACAAGTTTTTAAAAATAAAAGAAAAAATAATTTTATTCCGAACCACTTTTATCATAGAATTAATGTGTTGAAAAATTTATGGTAAAGCATGCAATGTTCATAATGGATACTTTAAACTTAAAGAACTTAATAATTAATAAAAAAAAATGCTATCTTAGTGTAATATAACTTCCACATTTGGGCGATAGAGTTTGTTCTGCAACATATTACTGAATCAAAGCTGAGTAATAAGATCTATACTGTGTATTTATTGGTTAATAAAAACTAGGTGGGCCACGCTTTATTACTGTAGAAAACTACAAAAGTTGAAAACATCTTAGTTTGAAAAATGTCAGAGTTGAAGCCGTTTGGGTGGACTGTCAGACTGCCAAAAACAATTCTGACGGATTAAACTACGGCTAATTTTGTGTTTTCTAYCATTATTTTTGCTGCAGTGGTCATTTTGAATTGAACTGACTCCAAACATTATTAAAGGCACACTTTGTAAGATTTTGTCAATTCTTTTAGCCGAAATTGAGATAATCACTAATGACAATAAATGTCTAATCATTGCAGACAAAGACCTTGTTTTATTATTTTTACC